AGTGAAAGAATACAAAAATACTTCATAATAAAATTTCATATGAAAAAAATAACCGGCGAAATATAAAATAAGTTGAATTTCTGTCCTTTTTCTGCTCCATTTTGATTTCTAGTTATTTTCATTTACTCATTTTTCTCTTCATTTTCGTCTGTTTTTTCATTACTTTTTTTTTGATTACCAATTCTTTAGTTCATTTAAAAATTTTTTCTTTTTATTTAATATTTCTATTCGAATTCTCATAATTTTCTCCGTTGCAAAAACTTTTAAACATATTGCTGTTCTTCTAGATGTTGTCAACACTATTGTGACCTCAGCACAGCAAAATATCACTGCTTCTTTCATATCGTTTAACTGACCAATCTGAAATGAATATAAAGTACTATGCAGCACTATACCTTAAGATAAGATGTATTGAGTAATAACAATGTTTGCACACGAAGTTTAGCTGGAAAGCCTTCAGGACAGCCTATCTTGACAGAAAGGAAAAACCACTTAAACAAGAGCTTCAATAATTAAAAATAATCTTAACACTGGTTTAATCTGAAAATAATGATTGCTGGCAGCAAGAACTTGAACGGAGGCTACAAAAAGGCGCATCAGTGAATTTTTAGTAATTTTTATAGAAATGTTGATAAAAAATGCTTGCTTAGCGTCAAAATAGTGTCATATTTGCGAGCAAATACTTTTCTTTTTGTGCACCTTTGAATACGTAAACATCACCCTTCAGACGTCTGAACGCAGTAAATTTAAATTTAAATTGTTTTCAGTATTTCTGCTATATTCACGAGCGGCCTGTATTTCAATAAAATTAATTTTTATCTCAGCAAGACCACTTTCTGAGTATCCTACGAATACTTATAACTTAATGAAATGGTCTCACAACGTCTCCATCCTAAAAAGCTCCAGGTACTGCATTGGCTGCTGCTCTATCATAGAATGGAGCTATATTATAATTTTTCCTGCAAATTCAAGATGAAACTACTTACATCTTTAATGCATGCGCAACTATAATCAAAATTGTTTATATATTAAAAAACAAAACCTATATTATCAGATCTCCTATTTCTTTCCCTGTTCCCTCGTCTATCTGCACTGATGTCCCGGTACCTCGGATCTGGGTTTAGACGACCGCGCTCGCTTCTGTGATGAGTGCTCAGTCTTCATACGTCCTACAGTGCTCAGTCTTCATACGTCTAAACATTTTGAGACGATTGCACTCGGCAGCTGCGTTAAATTTTTGTCTCTGAAATGCGGGATTTTGCGAAATAATCGTTAGCAACCGTTATTTTTTACAAGTACTGGTGTTCTGTAAGGTAAGTTGTTTGCTTGCGGTCGTTCTAGTGGTTTTAAGTAATATGTGAAAGCATTTCAAGTATTTAAGGCTTTAACTAGGATTTTCTGGCATAGAAATAAACGTTTCATTGTTTTTATAAAATAATTCCTTATGTATTGTAATTTTGCTCCATTAAATGCGTCTATTGCAAATGTTGAATACTTTATCTTCGTGCAACTAAAAGTCGAGCTCCGTTATTGTTTTCAGATTATGAAGTGACTCGATTGAATTTGATGATTTGTTTCTGATGTCATCTTCAGTAACGAACACGACAGGAGAGGATAGTGAGGAAGAAAGTTGTGTAATGCAAAACGAATCAAAAAAGGAATATCACAATGATGACCTCACAAGTTTAAATTGGCTTGTGGGTTACAAGTTGCCTGGTTAATTTTTGATTGCTATCTGGAAATAAGTATTAGTTGTGGTGTAAAGCAATTAAATTTAAAATTTTGTACTGAAATTAAAAGTTAATTATAATATTTCGTGATTACTACTGTCAGTAGTATAGGTTATTTTTAGTTCTTGGAATATGACATGCATAAATAAGAAAATACATGGTGGAGAGTTTGTAAAAGTTACGTCTAATCGTTAGCTTGTGATATTTGTTTATTTTAAAATTATTTATGTTTATTTCAGAAAAGTAAGTATCATTATATTTAATTTTCGTTCAGAATTGAAAAAGCTACTTTCAAAGGGTTCAGAGTTAAGATTTTAGATTACTTTACTCTTGCTGACAATTCATGTCATCAGCACGTGAGTGCCAATGCTAGTTGCAGTTCAAATAGCAGTCATATCTCGGAAGACGTATTATTTTCTCAAAATAGAGATGAACTTCTTGAAGAAAAACTTTCCGATGCTTCCTCAGGTACGATTGCTTTCTTATAATTACCTCCATCTTTCCTTACATGTTATGCTCAAGTTAGTCAAATTTTGTGACTTTTTTGCCTTTCAGTTCTTAGTTACTTCTATATTTTAAAAGTTTTTGAATCAGTATATTTTAAACTTTTTTGGTTTTTAGATAAAATTTCAACTTCAAAATGTTCGATTTTATGTCTGATTTATCGAGTATTAGCCACATCATCTAACCGTCGTCTTTCTCTCAGTGATATAAGTCGCCGTTTTGCAGTTCTGGTGAACATTATATTTTGAATGGTATAGAACACAAAACTCATGAAATTCACAAGATTGGAATTATAAAAAGCGTATTTGATATACTGACTTTTGATTGATAATAGGAGATGGAACGTGTGTATTGAAATTCAACTACTAAACCAGATTATATCTAATAAAAATATATTTATTTGCTTACAATTTAAGTATCCTGATTTCACAAATCTGTCTTCAAATTGGAAATCTTCTGTTAGACACACTTTGCTGACGTCAGAATGTTTCACATATGAGGTTAGTCGATTTTATTTTATTATATGATTATAAGATATTCAATTTTCCAGCTTAAAATAAATAAACTGATATGAGGTTTGTTTTTTAATTTTAATTTTTTATATTATACACAATTTAAGTTTTAAGCATTCTTTTTGGTCAATCAATCCCGAATTTGCAAAAAAATATCAGCATGTTGCTCTTGCTGAAGGATTTGCTCACCGTTGCCCTTCTGCTCCGTTTCTGTCTGAAAGGTGATTAAATTTTGGAAATTTTCACATAACTTTATTTTTAGCTTATAAAACATGAATCGATTTTCCAATGCATTTTAACTTTAAATGTTGTGAAGTAATTTTTTCTATTTTGTGATTTTTTAGATCTGATGTAATAGAAGATTCCAAAACTAGCGATACCGAACTGTAAAAAAACAAAACAATAATGTTAGTTAATAAGAAAAAATTTTTCCTTTTTAGATGAAAGTGCCTTTTTATCGTCAGCCGTTCCTTGTTTTTTGTATTCAATTTTATTGCAGAATGATGTTTATTTATTTTGTATTGTAAATTAAATTGCATGCAGATTTTCAAGATTTCAGTTAACTGTACCAATATTGTAGTTTTCTTTTTTAAAGATTATGCCAGGTTGATAAGGTCTTTCCTTTTTCATTTGTAAATTTTTTGTAAAATATGCATTCCTTTACCGGTGCTCTT